TACCCCAACACCAGCAACCACGATTGCGTGATGCAACACGGCCCTCAGAATCTCCAGAATTCGCCTGTGTCAACGTCCTCAACTCCACGAGAAGTGTCAGACATGCCAGGAAGCCTCGAGGCTACTTTGGGCAGGCTCACAGACACATGGGTACCGCGAGAGGGCAGGGCCAGATGGGACCGAGCATGGCGAGGGGCTCTGGTGTGATGGGTGGCCATTCAGGCGGCTGGGACAAACGCACTTGACACCAAAGGCCTGCAGAGACTCCGACGGCTATTTATGTAGGAGATCCATCAAGTACAACTGTCAATCATATTTTCATGTTCTCCCGTAATTCCCTCTGTGTCAGGTTCAACCAATCACCCAATCCAACCCGCCCAATCCTATCCCGTCCCCGGAGTGTCCCGTCACATCATAGTCCAGTCGGGATCTCCAGGATGCCACCCATCCTCTTGCTCCTTCCTGGGACGGTTGTTTATGCGCCGTCTGGCTTCCTCCATGCCGTTGTCCTTTCGCATCATCCGCAAGCTTACCCCACGTCCAGTCCCAATCCAGCGCCCCATCATCCGCCGGAATCATGATAGAAGTTCTTTATTGCCCTGCCACCTTCCTCCGATCCTCCAAATCCGGGTGGCAGGGCAGGGGCAGCTGCTGTTGCGTTGTCCTCGGTGATTCCGAACCTCTGCGGTACAACGATGTCTCCACCGGGAATCGCATCGTTCTGGCCTGCGGTACAGGCCTGTGCTGCTTGCATGTACTGTTTGATGGCCCTCCTCCATGCATGCTCCTCTGCCCATGTTTCGAATTTCATGTATGGTGGCAAACTGGCATTCAGGCGCCTGGCAACGATCGCGATGGTTTTGTCAAACACCACTGACAACAACACATCTGTATTGGACTTTGTCTGTACGTCAAACTCACGCTGTTGCAGTATAAAGATCTCTGACACTCCAGAGGTGGTTCACAACTTATTTCCAGCGCGTCATGCCTTCTTCTTCGATTCGCCATTCTGGGCGATCTGAAAAAGAAATGCTTACTTTCACGTTGAGATGTATGTGTTAATAGTAATAATTCAACTCCACTCAACTCCATGCGTGTTCGTGGTTCCCTTCCCGTTCGATCACTGCCGAGAGCCTTGGGTGCCAATCCCACTGTATGGCCGATGGGGATGTGGCCGTGCCAGCAGTGTCCATGGCCAGTACAGAGCATCAGGCTTGTGAATGCGGTTCCATGCGGGGCACTCCTAAAGTGCAGGTCGATGCTTGCAAGTGAGCTGTGTGTGCATCGTTGAATGGTGCGCCGCCCAAGCGTCCTCTTGCAGCTGTTGCCTGTCGATTCCTCGCCATCCTCGCATTACTCACGAAGCCAAGCCAAATCCTCATGTGAGCCAAGCCACTCGTCGTTGAAAGGAAGGATGGCGATCATCCCGAAACACCAGTAGGCCTCCGGCAATCCACCTTGTCCAAATACCATCGCGAGAGCCAGAGATTCCCAATGGCCAGCCACCGGGCCATGAGAAACCTCGAACTCTCCACTTGGCGATAGCATGGCTGCCGTGGCTTCGAAGAAGCTGCAAGGCGGCAGGATGCAATGCGGAGGGGCCGGCGAATGCATTGGCAACTGTTTGGCGATTGTCTTTGGGCGTTTTTGATGTTGGATTTTTGGGCTGTGCCTTGGTGTCGGACTGGCTTGTAGAAGCTGTCAAAGATGGTGTTTGGTAGGCAGAATTTTTGTGGCAGTCGATGTTGCACGGTGACCGATTGGTCTTGGACTGAGTTGGAGTGAACTGATGACTGAAACTGACGCCATAAGGTGGAATCGATGATCAGGAGTCACGCGACATGACGTTGTAACAGATCCTGCTTGATTTCCCATTTTACATATGCAGAAAGTCGTGTTTCCAGCTGATTGTCTCTGCATCTGACTGATGCGGACTCTGTCTTTACAATTGTGTTGTAGGTGTTCCGTCCTCTCCATCCTGGAGTTCTGTTATGGATTCGCTATCCTTCAATCGTGCTCCTTTTCCTGTTCATATGGCAGCTTGCTCTTGTGCCATATTTAGGCTTTTTCTAATCAACAACTGCTCATGTCGTAACAGCCTTTGCGCTTCTGGCTGTGTCTTCGGACGCTAAGCTATAAGTGGGTCCTCTTGTCGATGCTGTTCATCTTCAATTCCACAGTTTGTATATCGTTCTGTTGCCGGATGCAATCCGATATCATTTAAATGGTCGTTGTAGTCCACAGCCTCTGATTTGTAGATGAGGTCAATGAAGTTGATTACATCATTTGCCATGCTTTTTAAAGGTTGGAAATGAATAACTTCAACAGAGCATGCTGAGTTTTCATCACTCCTAATGGGGTGGGACCCCATACTTCAGTTAGCGGATCAAAATTGTTGTGTGGTAACAACACACGGTAACAAGCCAGGTATGCTGGCTGCCGTGAGTCTGGGACTGCCTGCGATGGAGCACGAGTGCAGCAAGCCCCAATATTTCAGGCGGCCTGCAGCCAGACACTGCAGCCGTCGCATGAATTGGATCCGCACCACTGGCTGGCCTGCCCATTACAAAACTCCCAACTGCTTGACGGCGGAGGGTGTGCCAGAGTTGTGCTTGAGTCATGAGTTCCATTGAAGCCTTAGTCTCAGTTCACTGTGGGGAAAAAATTCAAAATCATCATTCAATACAACAGAATTGTCGGCTGGCCTTGTGGCCGTCCAAACCTTCAGCACGATCAACATGGCGGGCATGTTGTGCCACATCTCAGGGTACGAGACAAGGGAACTAAGGGTTGCGCTTATAACACGTATCACACGTTGGAAGGGCTCAACACTCTTTACGGCTATAAGGGGGGTTGGGTCCTCAGGTTTACAATTGTGTTCATTTGTATCCCAGCTATGCAAGTTCTTGTCTGACGGGCAAATTGCATGTGCCACGCGTGCGACTCAGCTGTATAGAAAAAGAGCACACGCCCGCATCATGGGCAGTCGCAGGGTCCCAATTGCATGCAGTGCACAATGAACGGGGCAACAGAGCGAGATCCATAGTGGCAATGTCTCGTGAAGCATGAGTGTAGAAAGAAAGGACACACAAGGGACTCCTGCACCCTGAATCAAAATTATTGTAAAGAGATGGGGCGATTGTATGCTTTCCGTTCCTGAATTGGCTGTTGCAGAGTAGGCAGAAACTCTGGTACAGGGGAGGGTCCACTGGAATCCATAAAATGGAGGTTGATGGTACAGAGCTCATGGGGTGCTGCTCGGTTGTGTTGTGGCGATCCATATGGGGGGACGGGGAGTGGATTGTGTTATGTGTAGCATAGATTTTTAAACCCTTGGCCCTTTTTTGCGGACAAAACAATAAAATAAATAAGGTTCTTCTAGTAAAATTTCTGCAGAGCAACATAGACAATAGAAGTAACGCTCTGAAATGCAAATGTGTAGCAAAAAGCACAGTGGTAACGTTTTCTGATGCTGAAGGGTGTGCAAACCTATCGTAGTGGCAATGATCCTGCCTTTAGGTGAAACCATTATGATTGAGAATGGGTTGCATGATGACTGTTAGGGCAAGGGAATGGTTACTGTATGTGATATATGGCGTGCTTACAGTGGGAAGTAAATGAACGTTATTGCAGTGATTGTTATTTGGCTGATACGCTCATCCCGTAACGCATCTGGTTGCGGCCTCGCTCCCCACGCTTGGGAGCGACCGCCTGTGAGTGCGCGCAAGAGTGTTCGGTCAACCCGATAATGACGTCATTATCTGTCGTGGTTATTATCTGTCATTAGTTGTCGTGGTTCCTTGGCGGCAATCTGTATTCTCACTTCGCGAGGGCTGGGAGGGTTTCGTGTCGGCGCTTTGCCCGACACATGTCGACATAAAGAACGACCGCACATCTGCTATCATGGCAAGCTGTGTGCGGTACTTCCCCACAAAAAAGGGGCCGGGTGCACAACAGCTTTCACCAACCGCTTCACCTGCCTCTCGCATTCAGCAGTGTGCTCATCTCGTCTCCCATGGCGAAGAGGACAGCGTCGACCCCAACGTCTGGCGTGTGCAGCTGTGTTGCTCCCTGGAGAAACGGACGGCATGCCCTTGCACCCACAGCAGTCGCTCATGCAGCAAGTCAGCGACCCCGCACAGCTGTGCCCGCTAAAGCGCTTTTTACATATTTTTTTCCTCCTCGGTTCCAACAAGACGGGAATGACCCAAAGAATGAACGCCACAGCCATGGGCACCCCACCCCATGTATCCCCTCCCCTAGAGCGATAATCACCACAAGGGCCCATTTAGAAAAGGTGCAAATCGGCGAAGTCCCGCAACACGTGCAGGCTGCCAGATAGGCTGCAGGCTTCAGCAGCGTGAAACAAGACACACGGTCTTCGCAATAACCTACATGCCCTCCCCAGCACTGGGCGCTACTGGCAAGGGAAACAAAGCCACCCACTGTCACGGACAGACACAAACTCGTGCACCCTTCCAGACAAGACAGCCAGGACTCGCCGAACATCCTGTTGCCAGCCCCGCACAGAAGGGACACACATTGGCACTGAGTGAGCGCCATGAAACCGTCTTGGTCTTCACATGTGATGCCCTTCCCCACTACTGGCGTCCCTTCGCGCTGCCGCCCAAGGCACAGTCACATGGAGTGATCCAGCCCAGGCCAGCACACTGGCGTTTGGGATGCAATTCTCAGGGACAGCAACGAACCTGTGGCCGGCGGTGGACAGCTCAAGCAACAGCGCCTGGCCCATCGTGAAGCGCACAAGCACCTGAAGTCCGTCCAAACAGCATGACAATAGATAACGCAGTCGTCGCCTCGAGGGAGACCCGGGTGAGCAGGCACCATCCAGCGAGCCTGCAGGCAACGGCCCAATCCTCAAACCAGTGATGCACAAGACCGTCCCATTCAACTGCTCCTAAGCTATCCTCTTCCTCGCAAGCCGCCGGCGAAGCCTGCTTGTGTTCCTGCCAGGGCGCGCCCCTGCCAAAGGGCCCCTCCTAGCTCTGTGCACAGCGCACGCGCTGCCCCCTTGGGAACCCTTCTTCGTCGCTGTCGTCGCTGTTGTAAGCCGCCCCATGCTCTTTGCCGAAGCGTGCCCGCGACTTCAACTCATCCTGGATGTCCGGCACGGGGCTCATCTCCACCTCCACTTCGTCGTCCACCATGTGGTCAGCCGACGACGTGCCCGGGCCGCCCAGCGCCTTGGACACGGCCTTACGCTGGCCCTCGCTCAACGAGTCTGGGAACTCCACGTCGAAGTGCACGTACAGGTTGCCGTGCACCATGGGTCGGCCATGTATCGGCATCCCTTCCTCATCCATCCTGTGCCACGAGTCGGGTTTGAGGACCGCCCCCGCCGGCGGAGAGAACTTCAGCACCCGGCCATCCAGGTGGTTAATGTAGAAAGTCCCACCACAAAGCGCCTCAACCAGGTTGATTTTCTTCTCCATAACAAGGTCAATGCCCACACGCTTGAACAAGGCATGCTCCTTGGCCTCCACGACGAACACGACGTTGCCCGGTGGAATGTTGGGATCGGAGTAGCCAGCCTCCCCATGGAAGGTTATCTTCTGACCATCCCTCATGCCCTGCTCTATCGTCACATCGAAGACCTTCCTTTCCTTGGACAGGCCCTTTCCACTGCACGTTGGGCACCTGTCCTCTGCAAGACAAGGAGGGACAAGACCGTGAGCTGGGGGCAGAGAAGGTGTGGCGATGTGTGCAGGAAACCAGACAGCCCCTTTGCTTAGTGTGCAGATTGTCTTCCCACATACTCTTACAGAAGTACATGCAGATAAACATTCCCTTGGGGGATACAATGGCCGAGACTCAAACGACAATGTCTCGCATATCCATTGCAAACCGCCACAGCAGGTTGGTGACCAACAAGCCAGGGCAGCGCAGGCCATCAAAACACACGCCAGCTGACAGCACAACACTGCGCAGCAAATTCCTCCCAAAGTGATGTGGCTGATCCGATGTTGGTCTCTTTTGTGTGTTGGAGATTATATCACATGCTGCACTTTCCGTTAAGATCTTGCTGAACTATGCAGCATCGCCAGTGAACCACCAGATATCGTACCATATGGTGCGCTGTAGCCCTGGCCCCCACAGTTGCTGCACCGCGATTGAATCTGCTGTATCATCCCCGGCCCCAACTGCTTGATCTTAACCTCCAGCCCACTTCCATTGCACACCTGTGGCGCCACATGATGACGTTCAAGACATTCAGCAAGCATCACACACCCTAACCTGGTATGTTCATTCACAAGCCGGCGATGCAATAAGCGCTCTCAGATGCGGGTGATGGGGTAAGAAAGTTGCCAGCAAGTGTGCAAGCATCCAAACGCAAACACAAGTGTGCATGCTTGTGCTTGGATGCTTGCACACTTCCAGCACCCTCAGCACTAGTCTTGCTATGTCTGGGGTTCTGCTGGGGGTGGGTCATCAAGTTCCACTAAGGCATAGCGCGGAATGTGTTCCTGCAACACCGGTGGTATCATACTCACCATGCACTTGAAGGTCTTCCCCGACTTGGTGCCAACGCCGTTGCACTGATCACACTTCACCATACGGTTCAGGGCAAGTTTCCTGCACAGCCCGCACGCAACTCTCAGCACTAAAAGCATCCAGGGCCCCCATCGGGCCTGCACATGGCCATCCCAATCAATAATGGTCAGACAACAACTTGGTTGACAGGTTGCAACCCAGCACTGCCCATGCACAAGACCCCTGGCGCCCGGCTGAGCTACGCCAGCCCCCACAGATTTCATAACCAGCCGAAAGGACCGGGCAAATGGCATTCCCAGCCGCACGCGGACCATCCACGTCCGCCGCGCACTGCTCCTCAACCGTCCGCCCCATCCTCACCTAGTGGTCCCCTTGTACAGATCCTCCAGCTTGACCTGCAGCCTGTGCACAATGTCGTCGCCCTTGGGCTCGGACCTCCTGCGCGCGCCGCCGCCGCCCCCGAACAGGTCGAAGATGTCCGCCATGCCGCCACCGCCCGGGCGGCCGCCGTTCTCCTTCACGGCATCCTCCCCGTACTGCGGCACCAGGCAAATGGATCGGCGTCGGCCGGGTGGGGCGCATGGGAAGCGAGGCGATCCCGCGGCGGAGGGATTCGATGATGCGCTTCGGGCGGACGGCGGGGCAGCGAGAGGTCGGGGACCGCCCAGCGCGCTCTAGTAAGGAAGAAGGCGGCCAGAAAGGGGAGGGCATGCCGGGCGCATGAGCCGCGAGCAGCGCGTTTTGCTTTTTTCAAAGGGGAGTTCAGAGGCCAGCGGGCGGGCGAAGGGCCGAGGGAAACCACCCTGGGGGGGTGGCGGGAGCGCGGAGGGGTGCAGGGCTCCCGTGGGCGCCGGCGGGACGACCCTGCCTCGGCGTGCGCTCACCTCGTCATACAGCCTCCGCTTCTCCTGGTCCTTCAGCACCTCGTACGCCTCGTTGATCTCCTTGATTTTCTCGGGATCGGCGTTGGCGCCCGCTGCGAAAACCGGCCACACACGCCCCAGGGTCACCGCCGGCTCGCTCCGCCCGTCGCCCAAGCACATCCCCCTCCCTGGCCCCGGCCCGGCCACCCACGCAGCCTCCCGTTGGCTAATCCCCTACCAATCGACCCACAGACCCCTCTCCCCCACCCACCCACCCACACACACAGAACCCTCTTCCCCCCTAACCACATACACAGCCACGGTGATGCGGCAGAACGGCCAGAACAGCAGCCGGCACGCAAATCCAAAACCAGGCCCCTCCACCCCACTCCAGCCAGGCCACCCCACCCTCCGTTAATCCCCCCCGCCGCCCACCTTTATCCGGGTGGTACTTGAGCGCCAGCTTCCTGTGCGCCTTCCTGATCTCCCCGTCCGACGCGTTCCTGTCCACGCCCAGGATCTCGTAGTACCGCGTGTTGTTGCCGCGCGGCCGCTGGCTGCCCATCCCCGGGAAGCCCCCGCCGAAGAAGTCGCCCCCGAACATCCTGGCCGCCGCCCTCCGATCAGGCGGTGCCGCCGGCGCGAAGGCGACCCAAAATGCCCGCGGTCAAAATTAATCTCACGCCCCCGGACTCGCTCGCTCGCTGTTTGGTGATCGCGGCAGCCGAAATGTGCACCAGGAGGATCGGGCAGGCGGAAAGAGTTGAGTCGGTGTGGGTTGGCTGGCTGGCCGTGGTACGCCCGGGGAGGGGTGGCGGAAGAGGGGCTTAGGGGCTGGGCGGTGGCGCGGCCGTCCACGGAGTTCTAGAAGGTGCGGAGGGGGGGCCCACCGGCGGCGCAGAGGGGCCCGGTGGCGGGGGCCCGGCATTTGTCATGCCCGAGGGCGCGGGAATCATTTTGGGAGTGGATGCGGTGATCATGGAAAAAGGGGGGGCGTTCCGTGTTGCGACACTGTTGGCAGTTGTGACGTGTCGAGGAAGCTTCCCGGAGGTGTGGGGGCCAGGCCCCCTACAAGACAACGTCGCACGACCCCTTGCTCTTCCTTGTCTTGTTTTTGGAGTCCGAAGTGTTTCATCACATTTCGGCGTCCGGGTGCTCTTGCTTGTCCTTGTTCTTGCTTTTTGCAACGAATGCAGTTGTTGTTCGTTCGACCAACGCCCCCAAAACGAGGCAAGCATCGCGCACGCCCGTGGCGAATCAGGCTTGAAAAATACGGATGACGGTGGGAGCGGATCCATGAAAATGTGTGAGCATTATTCCGTATTTTGGTTCTGGGCTAATAATTACGACAAGCTTGTTACTTAAGTGCTCTTGCGATTACAACCTCAACGACATACACAGGCTAGTAATTTGCGTATATGTTTACATTCTTACATTTACGGTTTTATGCGTAAAAAAGTAAACTTGCAAAAGAAGCTACTTTTACAGCGGTTTTTATGTTTTTACTGCTCGCTGTGACACCCGGATTACATGATGGAAGTTGCGTACAGTGATCAGTGGTCCACCCCCTTGAGCGCCCGCAACACAGCGTCTACTTCCCACTCGGCGATGGCCACGATGCAGTGGAACAAAATTCGTCTTATGTCCATTCTAGTGCGTCAGGATGCCAATCCCCGGAGCCCGAAAGCTGCATGTACTGTCCTTATGTATACGGGGCTGTTTTTGCGTTGTATTTATGTCTTTTTACGCGTTTTTGCTCACAAAAATGTAAAAACTATTTTTACACGTAAAAACGTAAATAAGATCTGTGTTTACGGCGTAAATAACAAGCCTGGACGTACAAATCCAGTCAGTCAGTATCAGTGCTAGACCATTCCTTGGCGGCCTCACCTGCTGCCTCGGTACCAGAGACTATGCCATCCGAAAGCCAAGCCCCCCATCCTAGATCCACTCAAGGGCAACAGGTTCCTAATTCGCCGCCGTTTGCGCCTGTAAGAGCCAGGGCGCAGCAAGGGTCATCACAATCTGAGCGGCGCATAAATTCAGCCCGTCAGTATCCGCTGTGCATCAATCAGTGTTGGGGACTTTCCGTATCACCATGATACGTGCATATCCGTGCACCCGGAATAAAAGCACGCCATGTGTCCGAATCGGATTTGCATGTGTTGAACGTACTTAAACGCCCGCATGCATTTACTGCTAGAATTGGTCGTCGTTGTACTGCAGCCCAGTGCACCGTGCGCATTCTTCTCGAAGCTCCACCCCCACACCCTACCCCAAACCCCTCCGCAGCGGCTTCCCCGAATATGCGAAGTAATACATGTTCAATGTCCACCGCAGTTGCGTTTCTCGCCTTGTCTTGCTTCTCTGTTTGAGGGATTCATCAAAGGCCAACATTGGTGGCACATCAAGACAGGGATCCTGAAAGCTGCCTCGTACTTTTGCGTTGCTGTGGTGCAAAGTTCCAGGTTTTACCACTGCGCGTATTCATACACACACTCGCGGAGTCCGGGGAGTGCCAGACGCTCCGGAATGAGCAGAAAACGACACTTGTCCGGCGACGTCGTTGCCCTTGTCGAGGGCGAGGTGGACACTGTGTTGCGGGTGCTCGAGGGTCGGGAAGACTGATCATTGTTTGCCACTTCGTCATGTAACCTGTGTGTCCCAACTCGCCCGAGAACTACATATGTATACCCGTAACAACAAATTGCCGCTTTCTGTGTTTACGCGTGAAAACGTAAACGTAAGCGTAAACGTAAAAGCGATGCGGTAAACGTAAACGCAAAAGCGATGCCGTAAACGCAAATAGCAAGCCTGCAACTACCTAGCTTGCATAGCGTGTATTACTTTGAAATATCCAGCAATGCGCCAGAAGAACACAAGGCTTGATTCTGGCAGCGGACTCGCTTATTGGTTGTGTGGATTTGGGGGTGTCCGATGACCCGTCTAATGACTGTTGCTTGACAACATGTGTAATGACGTCACAACATGCAGTTTGTCCATGCCTTGGTTGATAATCGACTGGAATTTGGGTAAACATGGCAGGAAGTGTCATTGGATGGGGTGGTCAGACACCGGCGACCGGAGTACGCCATCAGGGCAGCCGAAGAAATGAGATGAGCATGCGCTAACGAAAGATGGCACCACTTCGGCGATTGGTGCACGAAATAATTTTGATTATAATCAAAGTTATTGTTTGCATCGCTGTACTTACAAGAGGAACAACAGCGTCGATTTCGCAAGATACAACATGTATTCTGAGACAAAGAAAGTCAAAAAGAAAAAAACGGAGAAAATCAAGACGAGAGTGCTATAAAATCCCCCGGGAAGGGTGAAGATTGGTGTTTCTTATCTCTCTGATAGCGGAAAGATGCAGGTACATTGCTCATAATATCAGAAAACGACTGGGCAAGCGGAACTGCAACAGTTTCAAGGGCTGTGCGCTGTTGGACAAACAACTGTAAGAGCCTAACAATTGTGCTCGGGTGGCACTGGGTTTTTGTACGGCACCATCTGCATGTAGTTTTGACGTCATGCTCAAGAATTTCGTCATCGCACCCTGGAAGTTGCGGAGGATTGGACAATTGAAAGTCTCTGCGGTCTTGAAGCACATCCTGACCACTTTTTCATCTCCTTACACCTGTGAATGAATCAGCACCTGTGCGGAGCTCAATTGCCCCATGGTACTGAGTCAGTACAACTCAATCCTTGGTGGCCAGGTGTAGCGTATGACGTGATTGACGTGCCGAAGGTGATATTGTTGCAGAGGTGAGATGCATGGAGATTGTCGCACATAGAAAAGGAGTATCAAAATATGGATGTGTCCTTCAAAGATTGGTGCCTTGGGATCCCTGACGGGAACCCTGTCCGTGCAGGTAACATTCTAGCGGCTTGCCCCATGTCTCTGCAGGTTCTTGTTTCAGAGGCTGCGAATCGGGGCAATGGGCTGTGTGTCGAGCGTCTGCACATGCTGGCGATGCGTTTGGTTCAGGCCACTGTAGGTCGGTTGTAATTTATTTTGCGTGATTCATGCATCATGGCTCGATTGTTGAGTTCTCGAAACTATTGACGGAAGTGCTGTGGTGCATGGCTATCTCTGGGTATTGGTTGCAGCAGACAAACCGGAGTCCCCGTTGGACTGGGCTGTGCTGGACAGTGATTGAAACCGGGAACGCCAGGCAGGCTGGCAGATGTCCATTCGGACTTCATCACACAAGATGATGTCCCGTCATTGGTAACAGAGAGTGAACACGGCAATACCCGGATGCCAATCGTATGTTTATGCCTTAAATCTTCTGTCTTCCCCTTTTTTTCAATTCCCTCCCTGGAGAATCATGTTGGGCACATAGTTCGGAAGTACTGCAAAGCTATCATGTTTCTCAATGACCATGATGCTTACGTGTATGATAGCATCACAGTCATGTACTGTCGTTCAATTGACAGATGTTATCCGTTGCTGGCCCTTCCATTTGCACTTGAACCAATCCGACGTGCTCTGGCGCGGATTTTGTGCCCCATCGTTGTGGCATTTTTTGGATCAGTACCGTGGTGTGGCAGGCCCAGTTACTAGATTATGGCAGCGTTCGGCAAGGTTCTTGATTCGTGAGCTGCTTGCAGCAAAATACTGGCCTGCCTTGATTAGGCTAGCAAAACGCTCTGCTGCACCCAGAGTTGCATGAGCGGAAAACTATGGTAGCCTCCTCTGGGAGAGAAACAAGTGCAAGGCAGCAGGGAAGAAAGCAAGCGAAACGTCACTGCACAGCCTATTCAATGTCTAACGTCAACGAGCCATCCAGGCTCCAGATTCTATCTACAAAGGCGGCGTCCCAACCCTTGGCACAAGGGATCACAAAAGCACAAGCAGGATTCGCCCCCCTTGTTCCGATCGAGCCACTTAGCGACACCAGCACATTCTTGTCCTCGCTGTGTGCTCAGCACGATCCTGTTGGGTCCCCACCCACCACCAACTGTCACCAGCAGCCAAGGCGATTCGCAGTGCTGACCAGCGAAGCACAGTTCCACCCACATCCACGAAGACAATAGTCGCCCCAACTGCCAGACAGCTGTGCCGCAAAGCACCATGCATGTTGCTTCCAAACTGGAGGCGCAACACACCGAGATTATGCCCCAAAAGAATTCTGCCCTGATCTGATCGTCAGTGACAGCCCAAGTGTATGCCTCCGATCCCTCCCTGACCCGCCACCGCTTCTGGCATTACCTGAACCTCTTCAAACCACCTCTTGGCACACATGCACACCCCAACCGTGTAGGCCGAGCCGCAGTGCCATCAAGGAGGAAGCAATGGCTTTCTAAAGTCCTCTCCTGGTATCGAAAGTTGCGTGCCCTCAGTCAATATGTCCAAGTGGTCGTTCGATGGTGAGGGCGTGAACTTGAGCCCACTGCGCGCCTCTGACACCTCAGCCTTGTCCCTTGACTTCAGATGCATTCCTTCCGCAGAAAAGGTGAAGAACTGGTGCATGGAGATGAGGACGATCGACACACCGATCATGAAGTTCATGGTAAGGTGGTGTTGGAAGAGCAGCGCAGACATGATCCCTGTGAAGATCGTTGCCATGGTGGAGGAGTACTTCTTGAGGATGGTGTCCGCAAACTTGTAAAAGAAGGACGACAGGATGCCCTGGGCGGCATTATTGGCCACAAGCAGCATCGTGATGGGCGTGAAGCCACGGAAGATGGAACCCAGGGCTTGGCCGCCCGCCGCCAGGCAGCAGATGCCCAGCAGGTTGAACACCATGCCATAGAAATATAGGAAGAAGTTCTGCAGGTGCACGCTGGTGTCCATGTGCTTCTTGAGTGCAAACTCGTTGTACACAGAGGCTGCTGCGGGTATTGTAACCACCCCTGCTGTGTAGGCCACGGCGTCGAAGGACACCGGGGTGCTTGGCCCTGCTCCTGGGCAGTCTGACAGCTGGTTCACTGTGATGCCGAACACCAGAAGGAACAGGGCCTCCCACTGTATCACCGAGAACGTTCGGTTCATCACCACCTTGAGCAACATGGCAATCGTGAAGATCTTCAGGTTGCCCAGCATCTTGGTGGTGGTGGGCTTGAAGTGCAGCTGCATGACGAACTTGAGGTAGTTGTTGATGGCGTACAGGGAGGCCGGGATGGCCAGGAGCCGGTTGTGGTGCGCGTCCCTTATGAAACTGATGGGGGAGCGGTACAAGGGGGGCCCCGAGCGCCCCGTGCCCACAAAAAGCAGCATGACCAGGGCAAACGCCACCTTGCAAACCTCCGTCAGGAAGTTCACGCTGACGGGGTTGTAAGAGAACTTCCCGTCCTCGTTTTTGGACATGTGCACAAGGATGGGCTGCATGCCGATCAGCACGCAGTCCATGGACACCAGGGCCACCTTGAGCGCCTGCAGCCGCTTGGGCGGTATGGCCCCGCCGCCCTTCTGCGCCCTGTAGGCCTTGAACATCTTCCCGGGCAGCAGGCTGTTCTTCGCATTCTCCGGCTTCTCAACCATTGACATACCCCGCTACGCCCAACCACGGCGCCCGCCCCCGCCCTCCTACCCCCCACCTCGGACCTCCGATCGTCCCTTCAATCCACCTCTGCTCACCTCCTCGGCGCCAACACCGATCTCAAGATTTCGCCCGCCCCCCCCCCCCGCCGAGGACTACCCAACGATGCGGGGGCCCGCTGTGCGGCCCTGCCTCACGCCGCCCGCCCGCTCTTCCCCCGCCTCTCCACACAGCCCCTCCCTGCCTTCCTTCCCCCCTCGCGCCTCCCCGCGCGCCGATCCCACTCAGCCTCGCCTGCGGCCCTGCGAACGATGCGGTGGGGGCCCGGGCGCTGATGCCGACCTCGGCCGGCGAGGCAGGGCCGCGAAGTCGATCGCCCCTTCGCCCTGCGCCGAGGATCTGGGCGGGTGCCGCGGGCGCCGGACCGGGGGCGGGGCCGCGGGGCGGCCAGCGCGGGGTGCAGCACGGGCGGGGGGGGGAATATGTTGGAGCGAGGGGCGTGGACGCGGGGGCAAGCCCCACTGAAGCAAGGATGGGGGCCAATGGGAACAATTTGTTTTCTTTCTGTGCGGCAAGAAGGCAATGTCGACTGACTGAATGGATGAAATCCTGACAGGCAATGTGAAAAATCGGGACAAATTTGCTCGGGTAAACTAGGAAGCTGACGGCTACCTCATTGCCTTGTTCTGTAAAAACTGATTATGGTGATGACAATAAGAAATCGAGAAACAAGTTATGTCACGTGTCTCCGCTGAACTCAAATGGTCAAGCATACCATTGTCCCTCCGCTGGTGGTCTACAATTACATCACAAGGATAGGGCATTGACGACATGTTCGACTTTTTGGAACCGTCTTTCCTTTTGTTTGCCTGCTTTCTTGTCTGTTTGCCTTTTGGCTTGTTGTTCTTTTTTCCAAATTTTTTGTTTGAGGCTTTCTTCCCCCTTGCCTTAGTGTATCTTGATTCGCCTTCATTCCTTGTTCACCTTTGTTGTGGTCGGGTGTGCAGCATTGCAAGTAGGGCCATGGACACAGTGATGTCCCCAATGCTGTAACGTTGGAGAGCTATTCAGACACATAAACTTGTGCAGATAGTTGTTGTAATTACAAACACTCAACAAATAATTATCATTTGATTTGGTTCGATTTGATTTTTTTTATAGTCTTCAAATATTTGAAATATTTTGTAATACCATTATTGCAAATCAGCATAATTAGGGTTCGATCAGCTATCTTCGTCGCTTTGATTTTCAGTAAATATCGAAACGATGAAATGGATTATCGACCAGTGTGTTTGTCGTGTCTCATTTATCTGAAAAAAGAAGCGGCCATGTTGCAATTTTGTAGCCCTGCATGTCCTTCCTCTCAGCTGATTCGTCTTGCAATCTTTGAAGATTCCCGCTTTGTTGTACTTGTCTTTCCATGCCTCTGGGCTATGCATGCTCTATGTGTGGCCATATATATCCCAACATATCGGAGACGTCCAACGTCCAACAACTTGAGGAGGAATATTCCTTGTCAGGCTGTTGGCAGTGGAGTGACTCCCAATGAATGGGGAAAATATTGAGCTTATTTATGTTATTTGCGTTATAATAAACTTGATTAATTATTCCGAATGAATGGCCACTGCCATCAATGCTCAATGCCCCATTTTGCAAGTGCAGAAGAGCCGAGAGGAACAAACCCATCCACGGTTGTGCGACCTCGCCACTCAGCAATATTGCTATTACTAGCTTTTGTATCTTCACAATCCAGGTGAGTCCACGTTTGGTAGAGGAGGCAGGTGTCGGGTTGGAGCTCAGCGATGGCGATGGCTACAAGAGCAGTTGGTCTGAGATGCCACGGTGGATTTGCGTGTCGTCCGCAAAGCTTGCCAATTGGAGGAGGGGCTCACAACACCACTTGAGGAGCATGAGTGCAATATTCAATGCTGAAAATACTATCCTTGTGGCACACCGTAGACCATGAAGGATAACGCGGAAGAGCTTTGAAGAATGCGAGGGGCTTTAGATGGCACCACCGGCGTTGTTGAGCATGGCCATTGCAGGCCAGCTGCAGCAAGACGGCAGCTTTCACACATCTGTTTGTCCACGAACGTGGTGGCAACGGTTATCACAACGTAGAACTTTCCAAACTGTTGCAGCCAGACTACTCGGAGCAGAGTGGTTCCCGATTCTCCAGGAGAGATGGCCCACGGTTGCACACCTCTATAGGACGCCACAATCCTTTCGTTTGTGAAGGCAGCGCGTCACTGCAGCGATACGCAAACTGGGACCCTTGTCAAGGGAAAATAGCAAGCGAGAAATTGGCCATGAGGAGATTTCCCGGTTGGAGACATTCGTCATGCCAAACTGGCAGAAGCCATGAATATTGACGCTTCTCCAGTCGGGGTTCTCTCTGTCTCAAATAGAAGAACACATATCGTCTCAGAATGTCCCCTATGCGTCACCAAGCCCCCTTCGAAATATCTGCAACTCGTCACGTGAACACCAGTTCGGGCAAAGTGGCTACGTGAGCTGGTGCGTGATGCCTTCCATTTGATTTAACATTTCATTAGGTAGTTAATTTAATGCCCCCAAAAGGCACTGGTTTCGCCATAAGTTGATTACAGAAATAGGTACCAGAAATGGACGGGTATGCAAGCCTCTTTCTGAGCTCATGTTCGCGGGCGAAGAAACCTTCTTTGATAAGTGAGTGTGGGGGCATCTGTGGCCACAGTGACAAGGTCCTTTTCAGCAGGACATCGACTAGGCGACTGTTGTAGTGAGGACAGTAGATAAGATGTGTGGGCTGGGACCGATCCGAGCGCCCCCAAGGGGCATGACCCGCTGCTGTACCAAACCGCTCAGCCAGGAGTACAGCGTGGGCGTTTTTCTATGGCTTATGTACCGTCTCACCCAAACGTAGCGCTTTCGAAAGCGATAAGAATTCTTATTGCTAAGGGCAGTTGCAGTGCAGAACATGCGCAAGTCCTTTTGAGCACACTTGAGAATGGGTGACAAGGCGCTGTCTTGCACGTGCGGGGCGACGTCGGTCACGTGTCTGTGCTCTGAACGTCCACGACGGTGATCAACGGCATCTCCAAGTTCAAAATGCTGCAAACGGCGGCTAGCAACGGGGTTGTGCATGTGCAGCTGCACGTGCAGCACAGCGGTCGAATGGCAGCCTGCCCCTCACTTGCCCCCACCCCACCTAACGCCCATGCACCCACCCAGCAAACCATCGCCACCACCATTCGCCAGAAAAGGGCAAAGTTTCCACAATACCGGTCCATGCACCAGCCCAGCCGAATTGCTGAAACTGTGTTTCAGCGACGCCCATGAGTTAAAGTGGGGGGCCGATATCGTCACCGTGTCTAGCTTTCTTTCACCATTCTACGCTAGTGATCGGCTACAACCCCCTGTTCCTCTGGAGGCCAAGCATTTAAATCCTGACCAATCAGCACAATCCCTGGACCCCGGATTGGAGATCCGCGTTGATTGCATGTGCCTCTTCACAGCAACAAAGCGCTTTGAAACTTGCAAGTGCAATAAAGTATGAAACTGGAAACTCGCAACCTTTTGTGGGCCCCACGCACGCCCACAACGCATGCTTGCTCCCCCTTGTCTCACCGCTCATCGTACCAATGCAGGATTCAGAAGCTCCCGCCGTGGCAACATGCCCACCCGCAGCCATGCCCAGCGACTGGCGGCAAACATTGTCCGCAAACGGGCGCCCCGCGGGCAAGGCTCGAATGCGAACAACCCTGGACACTGCGTGTCAAACGGTCGTTCGATCAGAACAGGTGGGGAGAGCTTTCCCTTGGGCCTTAAGGCCCTGCCCTGTTTCACCACAGGCCCAGGAATTTCCACCAAAAGCCGCCGACGGTGAGCCACACCGTTATGTTGACGACGCTCACCAGGAAGCCCAGCAGCAGCCAGCGTTCCAGAGGCACGTAATCTTGGCCAAAGTACATGGGGGCATGGGACATCCCGTATTGGGTGAGCGTGCCCTGTCCGCACGGCATTCAGCGCATTCAGAGACACACAGCCCTGCGGATGCCAATGTCGACATGGCCACTTGCCTTTTGTGAAAGAGGTGCACGGAAAATAGAAGCAGGTGGCAGAGTGTTTCGAACGGTGCCAAATTGAAATACAGAAAACTGTTGATTGCACGAGGGCAAGTAAACGTCCCATGAAGTGCTGTGACGACAAACCGGCACGTAAAAGTCCGCCATGGGAAACAAATTCGACAAGAATACAACATTCAGGCCAACAAATTTCACGTCGGAATCCAGATTCGCAAGATTTTGCTGCGAAACGTAATGAGCGTTCGTAGCAACAACACACACTACTCATCCCAAAATTCACCACAAAACACCGCAACATTGCATCACGACGTCGCACTGCCGACAACACTGCCACAGGACAACTCAACCCGTCGCCCAACTCCAGCAGTGGGCACCCCTCACAGGTGAACAACAGCACCACCAACACCGCTGATGTTCAGCGATCTGCTCATCCTCCATTTACTCCGCATTACCAACACACGACTTCCAGCTACTTAACACAGCTTTCTGTCTGTTTCCAAACACAGGGAACAGCTTCCCCAATGGACAGCATTTTGACAGTGTCGTGGCCCCTGCCACACACCTGAATGTTTGAAAAGAAGGCGAACACAAGGGCGGCAAACATGGGGGGTGCGCCCGTGGCAATGGCCACGGCAAGGAATGCGGAGTACATTGCGCTGACGTGGGCGATGTTGCTTGCAAAGAAGTAGTGGGAGTAGAAGTACACCAGCACCAGGATGACAAAGGAGGGCTGCCAGCCCCAGCCAAGCGTGGAGACAGCAGTGGCCACCTCACTGGAGAAGACCCCAATGACGCCTGGACAGCACCACAAAAGAAAAGGCGCCACTGGGTAGTGAGTTCCCATCTACCCCGACACTGGAAGCGCATGAATGAGGAGCTGATGGTTATCTGGCGCCATGCAAGACATTGCAAGACGATCCATGGAACCAAGAAGGATTGGTCGAAGGTACTTCATGCAAAAACTCCAAAGCGGGCAAAGATGCACATTCTAGAGGAAGAGAGAGCTGTAAGGAACATGACACCACAGCTGCAGCTACGCAACTGTGTTCTGGGGATTTATAATCCAACGTTTTTCCTGATATGCAGCTTACAGGGCAGTTGACTACATCCGGGTCACGCCATCGTCTCTTAACTCCAGCATTTGCGTCAAACGAATGAGGAACACTCACTGACTGTCCAAAGCGCTAGAGGTTGGAAAAATGGCAACATAGCAGTGATGGAAAACACAACATAATGGTTCAACACTGTTGGAGTTTTCCAGAGGATATGTTCCCATGCAGAATGTAGGGAATACAGTTGAATACAGTCCCCTGGCCAATGGCCAGTCCCAATGCCATGGTGTCATCAAGCCAAACTCTCAACAGTCACAGCATTGTGACTTTGTCACGACTGTTGGGTCTGGCTTGATAACACCACGGCAGAAGGACAGTCCTTCTGCAGCACATCAATTGCCGCCGACCCATTACCGCTGCTCCCTTTTCACTTTGTAAGTATCACCAATACCACCTTTGGACCAGCAAACGTACTGCCAAAACTTATTATAGAGTTCGTAACAACGCAACCTGCGAGCTGCACATAGCTCAAGAATGATAGTTATTATGAAGATGTGCTACGTCCATTTACAAAAAAAGCATTGCTAATGAGCATTGTCAAACACCATGAGTAAAAATGAGTGCTAGCAGAATGAGGAATGCAGAATGAGGCAGACAATGACTAATAAACCAACACCAGATACTGTCACTGACTATTCACCACCTGCACAATGCTCAAAAGCAACACAGTGCAATTCAGCACTGCTGCCACAGTTCCTTCACATGGCGGTACAATGCCAACATCAATGCCATCAATGGGGCACCCATTGCAGCAGAGCAGCAAAATGCACAAAATGCAGCGCAATGAGAACTATAGGTGTCAGAGCAGCAGTGGTGAGCTTGTGTCTGACAAGATACTGACTATGTGCATATCAAAACACAACTGTGTAATACACACATAGACCATATATATCATCATATGCCTTGCACATGGACAGTCTCCCAGACATCGCAAAACACGTCGAAAGTGCAGTGATTTGACACATTGTGATAAACACAATAAACAGTGAAGAACTGAAATTGTATATCCTGTACTAATAGCATACTTTAGCAGTTTCGGCAACCTTGCACATTCGCCAGCAGAAACCAAAAGAAAGTCAAACACTCACCGAGCTTTTTCAGCTGAGTAGCCATGGCGATCAGCACGGCAAACCAGGTCATGGTGTTCCAGGCTGATTGGTAGCCCAGACACTCCTCCCAAGTGATAACTTTTGACACCAGCAGGATGCTGAGTCCTGCCAGAGCGGCAGTCACTACTCCATAGTGGAAGTGCTCTGCACCAATCCACAGGGCGATCGTGACAGCCATCGCAAACAGTGTCATGCCTTCTCCATATTGCGGCTTGCCCAGGGCCTTGAGGTCACTGCGTGCCTGCCAATGAGGACAAACACACGGTGATCAGTGTTGTGATTGACAGTGCAACGTACACTATGCCAGCACATGTGCTCAACCTCCATAGGACCATGACTACATACAAGCAAACCAAGGAAGAGGAACAAAATGATCGAAATGAGATTGGCCACCAAATTGATATGCCTTCTGCAACAACATCAATAAAGGTACTGTGGCAGAGACATCTGTGCTCTAGACGAGCCTTCCATTGGCAACAATGGGCAACAACGCCCTGCCTGACTTGGTGAACACTGCGTACACATATTAAAATTCATCTTGTAACAGCATCTTCTGCTGCCAGTTCCCTGCACGCCCCAGGAGTGGAAGGAAGACAACCAATGTGCCATAACCCTCACCACAGCCTGTGCCAGCTTAGTGTCCCTCATGTTGGGCGGATACACAGCCTTCAAAAACAGTGGCACGACGATCAGGCTTGCCAGGCCAGGGACAATGGCTGCCTTCGCCCATAGCACCCAGGAGATCGGCTGGAAACATAAAGACAACCATTCCTCACAAATCGCATCGGGGTGATCGATTTACACGCGAAATGGCTAAATTCCCAAGGGTTTGATACATCGAATCTGCGCAATCTGGTTTGGCAACATTGCGGCCAATTGGGAGCTTCTCTGAGCTCAGTGAGTGACCGCATTTGCGCAGAAGCAGTGAACGAAAAATAGCCCATCACTCTGATTCTTGGCTTGCCGACATTTTCTCTTGTTTTGTGGGGGAGTTTCCAGGGGTTCGGTGGCAGCAGTGGCCGCTATTAGAGGCGTGTTTTCGGTTCTAGAGGTGGGCCTGGACGTGCCCTTTGTACACTGGATGGTACGCTACATTGATCGATGCCGTGACGTCATGTCGATGCATCCATGTAAGGAACAAACAAACAAACAAACAAACATTCCTCACAAATCAGCAGTCCTTTTCAGCGAAAAAAGTGTATCTGTTGGTTCCATTCTGCATTCCAGCATCTGTTGATGTTCGTGAGACGGCTGCCATCAGACACAACAGTTGATCATATATTGAAGTGTCTGGGTGCTGGGAAAAGATCAGGAAAGGATTTTTGGCGTAAAGACCCATTTGAGACACCGAACAATGGTCTTTGTTGACAGGTTGATCTGTTTTTGGTGACATTCACCAAACACCAAGCCAGATCGAGCCAACTTTATTCAGGCAAGCGTACCCTACCCATGTGCAAAGAAATGGATGGGAAGCAGCCGATGCAAGAAAAACAAAGGCAATGGAGAGTCTGCGATGCCATCATTTACTCAGGTTGTGTTAGTGCAAGAACCATGACTCTGTCGGTTCATTGTAATGCCTGCCTGAGGAAAGGTTGCGCAAATCCTTGGGACGCAAGCTCAAGACTACATCAAAACAAAGGGTATCACACCAGTGAACAAGCAGTCTCAACACTCAGCAAGGAGCAGCACAAAATAAAGGCAAGGCACGCATTGCACATGAGGTTCTCACAGACAATGTGATGTGTGGAAAGTCCAGTCCACCAGCTATTGTCACCCCAAAAACATGAAACATCAGCACAAAGCATGCTACATATTAAAGCCCACATTGGAAATTCCGAGCCCTTCCAGACTCTGTTAGAAAACGCACCTTGTCGATGGTGGCAGCGGCAAGCTGGGCACTCAGTGGGTTGGGGTGGTTGGCGGTGAGGAACATAGCGCTGCTGACTGCAGAAGTGTGAAAGCAGGTGGCCATGAGGTAAGCACCCAGCTTCCTGGCAGTGCCATCATTTGGCTGAGAGCCACAGGCCTCAGACATGGACCTCACCAGGGGAAGGACAATGCCGCCAGAACGGGCGGCCACACTTGGAATCATTGGCGACAGAAGGAACTCACTGCATCAGTAGACAAGACAGTGCAGCTGGACGAAAATGTACCACTGAAGGTGTAGCAAAGTCAAAAGGTTCGTATTATTGGATAAACTGACGATTGAGGTGGATGAATGCATCCTTAAGAGAAAGAGCCACCATTACACATAGCCTAATTCTAACAGGGTACATAACAGTTGGGTGGCGATTGAAGTTGCTGTGTGAATTTGTTACATCCAGTTCTGTTGGAAGGGTCTGCTGCGTCAATCCCAAAAGTGACAGTACAGGTTTTGATAACCATATGCCAGGGCATAACTATCAAAGGGTGGAGATTTAGAGGATCCCTCCAATCCAATTCTTGCGTCCAGTTGCTTCTTGCCATCAACCCATCTGACAGTTTGGGTTGACTCGTACATGTTTGGCCATTGACAGACTATTTGCTGAAGATCTCAGGCCCCCACCTGAAAACCAAGCTGTAAGTCATGCCCAGAGTGCTGGATCCAAAGAAGGAAATGAATAAATAGGATAATCGCTTGCCCAGGCCTGTCTTTCGTATCGCCTGTGCCAAAAACATCGCAATTGCAATCAGCCATGGAACTTCAGCACCTACCACCACCAGAAACGCAAGAGTCAGGTAGATGGCAGTAGCGGCAGACAACTCTCCAAGAGAACAAGTCAAACAAACACAAGCGGCATCCCCTTACCTGGCAGACACGTCAGGGGAACATTAAGCAAGGGGCAAGAGTTGATAAGGAAGCCTCGGACACATAACGGCAAGCAAACAATGCTGGATTGTTCGTGGAGCAAGGTTTCTGCAATAGGGGCATGACATGAGCAGGGACAAAGGCTGGAAACATGGTGCAAGCTGGGATTGCCACATGGTTCAGCAGCGGCAATTAAAGGAATTTGTGTACCAAAGCACCAGCTGCTTGCAATCAGCGTACAAACATACACAGCACTCCAGCAACCATGGTTGAAACAATCTGAAACAATGGCTTTTCCAATCGCAGAGGTGCTGGCATGTGCTATCAACAAGTGCAGAAAGGCAAAGGCTTACATCAGAGTTGTGGGCTTGCATCAAGGCAGATGTTTATTGTCAGGAGGGCACCAAGCAGTGGACATATGGTCACTCACTGAATGATGCGAAGGCCTCAGCAAAACTCAGTGTGTAAGTCAGCAGAGTTGCTGCCAGTCCAACCATCGCAACAGCCCCCAGTGGAATTGGTTGCAAGATGATTCCACCTGTAGAGTGCAACCAAAGTTAACTCATGCTCATCCAACATTGCCTCACATTCAGATGCTTACACCTGCACTGTCCATTGTGCTGCTCTGTGGCCCTTGGTGTCTTCTCTTTCACCTGTTGGTGTTTTTGATTCATGCTTATGTGAATTTGGACTCTCGTTCATCTCCATATGGGAGCCTGAATTTCGTTTGTCAATGCTGGCCATGTGGTAAAGAGAGTCACACATTTTGCTTGTGGGCTAATGAGCAAGCACCTTTCCCATGGCCACAAACCTTTTGGCAGGTTATGTGGCAATCATCCAGATTTATGTTAGGATTGAAATGGACTCATTCAGCTACTCACTTTTGCTGACTCAAGCAGCATGAAAGAGCAAGTGTTTCGCATATAGACAATCTGTTGCTGGTTTAATGTTAGTTTAGTGGAAGGTAAGTTGTTGACTTGAGACATGCCTGCGATTGCAAATAGGCAAAAGCAAATTCCATTGATTGTGTTTTCTTAAGTACTACCTCGATTTCAAAAGTTGCGCTTGAGCTCCAGTTTGTGCAAGCTAGGTCAAAACGTCTGAGTCAGAAAATTGGACTGAAATAACTTCGAAGCACCACATCAAGAGCTATCCTTCGAGCCCTCAAAAGTTCCAATTGGTGGTGCCATTCTTGTGATATGTCAAGACGAGTTGAGTTGTCACCAGGAGACGTGTGCTTTGGTGGTTCAGTATGCACTGATGATGCAGCCCATTCCAAATCGAATTTGCAAGGACACAGATTGCAGTCCGCAAACATATTTGGGGTGTTAACCAGAAGCGCAAGCATGCGGTGCCCAAAGGCCAAGAGGCACCTTGATCAGTGCAATAGCATCCATCTTGCAGATTTGCCAATCATGGAACGAACACCTTACATTACTTATGAAAACCAGAATATTGGAAACATGATTCAGCATACTGGAAGAGACGATCCCCAAAAGTATAATAATAAGGATGTCAAAACTCTTGAGAAGGTGTTGTAATGCCTACTTGTTGTCTACATTAAAGTGCTCAATTAGTCTTGGGGAAATGGGTTGGGACATAAGGGAACCAGGCCAATGCAACAATGCAGAATTGAAGACCTGCATGGAACTGGACAGGGACAATTTTTATAAGGTTGTGAAAGCCATGTTGTGTGGTGACGTATAATATATTGAAGATCCACATCCATCTACAAACAACCAAGGAATCCAATCATGGTGACGGATTGGCTGATTGAGTTGATCTCGCAAAGTTATAGGAAGCATCGGAGATCGGACGTCACTTTTGAGATGGAGGTAGCATGACTCAGTTATCCATCCTCACGCTTGGGTCACAAGCATTTGAACTAAATGTGAAATTTTCGTTGGCAGCGCTCCCTTTCTCACATAATCCAGCGCTCTAAGGATGCTATGAACAATCCACGTCAGGAATGAACTTGTGTAGCAACCAACTTGGCTGATCATCTACAGATTGCACTGTCAAGGCCCCTTGCCGCATACTCTGATGGCACATGATCACTAAAGCAAGTGAACGTTTCGAACCAGAGCTTGTGAAGAATCCAAAGCCCTCTGTCTGCTGACAGTAAATCCCGTGGCCATGTTGCTGTGAGGAAGGCTAGCTGATCTGCTGCATATCAGGTGTAGAAAGGGCAAATCGGACCCTAATGCAAATGGACTGAACTCATATTCCCTGCATTCCATGTGTGGCAACATACAGTACAGTCATGCATCGCGTCATCGACTCATCTATGCTTCAAACAGAACAATCTGTGCGCAGGCATGTCTTTGGCCTCAGGTTTCTGCAGCCCCAGAACTTCCATCAGCCAAGAAGGATGCCAGTGTGCCACATGAGCACATGAGCACAAAGAGGTTTGAGGAAACACAAGCGCCCTGAGCAGGGGCAAAAAATCCCTGAAGGCAATTGTGTCTTGCAGGCACTGCCTGCATACGTCTTTCACAGCGATTCTGCCACGGTACACGTGGCATCCCCTCTGTCGAGCATGGGGAGCAGCAAACAAAGAACACGTTGGGGACGCTCATTCACGCATGCTTTCAAAGGCCCCTGGGGGATAGGGCATTCATCCCTTTCGCCAGAACTCTATACGAGCGAGTGCCACCTGCATTGACTTCACCCTCTCCCAAAGCCCCCTTCCCCCCCGCCCGCACCCCCCAATCCCAATGCCATGCTCTCACACATCCGTTTTCAATTACATCAGACATAAGACAAGGCAAAAGCCCTTGCACCAAACTGGCGACGTCGGGGCCCTCACATATGGTCGCCACGAAGATCGCCAGCAGGTGCATGCCCCTGGGCTGGACGCCAGCCGGCGCGGGCACCCACCACAGCGCCAGCCCCACCACTGCCACCACCAGCATCTTCCAATTCTCGCCGCAGAGCGCCCTGGCCGCCGCCAGCCACCCCGGCCTCACCGCCCCCGCCTCGAGATCAGGTTCGCCATCAGATGGCAGGGATTCGTAAGGCACGCCCTCCCCGACGGCTGCCGCGGACGATGGCTCCGCCATCGCCACGATTTGGCGCAATTTTGGGCTGCCGGCCCAAAAGTGTTTTCGGACTTTGTGCGGGAGGAGAGGATTGTGGCGCGAGGGCCGCAAGCACGGCGGTGGCGCGAGGCGCCTGGGGGGTTGGGTCCGGAGATGTGCGCCCGACGGCGCGGCGCGACGCGCTGGCAGCGACATGGCCAGGCGATTGGGCCGGGCCACGGGGACACGGGGACGGACAGCCACAACACCGTCCTTGCGACCTTGATACGGAGACGGAAACAGGGACGAAGACGGGGAACCCCGATGCCCAACCGCCCAATTGTGACCCAATCCCAACGGCATGAACTTAGTCGCTCTGTCTTTTCCGTGAAGATCCCTTCTTGTTTCGACGCCCTGAACCTAAAACCCAACACTGACCCACGTTGGCCTTGTCAGCAGAAGCAGAAAGGATCACGGAAAAGACAGAGGGACTAATAAACTCTCGTCCACAACACTGTCCTTGCGACGTTGAGGGTGTGCCGACCACTGGTACGGAGACGGGAACGGCGACGGAATCCCCATCCACCCCATCTACGGTATGCAGACCGTGGGTCCTTATGCCCAACCGCACGATCGCCACCCGTCAGCATCAAGAACAGAGCGGCAACGTCCAGCCTCCGTTAATTTTCAACCCAGCTCCACAACTCCCCTCACCCCAAAAACCGAAAAACGCAGAACGCGCAGCTGAAAACATGTGGACATCAGTACTTTAGCCAGCCACCTGCTCAGTCTCCGCCACTGAACTTAGAGCATTAATGCATTGACTCCGTTTATCTTTTTGCAAATAAGATACTGAAATGAAAGAACATCGCCAAACTCCCCCCGTAATACTTTAGGACAATGTGTCTTGGAAAGGCCCCCTCCCTTTCGTCATTTTACCTTCCCAGACTTTGCACGAAACAGGAAGCAAATCGCGTGGGCATTCAAACGCCAGCTGGGGGGCAGGCGCAGCTATGGGCGGCGGCAGGAACAAACGGGAGAAGCGGCGGCGCTTCGAGGCGCGGCACGAGGACCAGGTGTGGCGGGACGCCAAGGTCTCCCGGAGCGGCGACAGGCGAGAAGTGCACGATGGCAGCGTGGGGCCGCTGGGCACGACGGACAGGTGGGCATGGCGGTGGACTGGGGGGCATGAAATTAGTCGGTCTGTATTTTCCGTGAAGATCCCTTTTTGTTTGGACACTCCAAGCTCTAGCCCACAGACTTACGTTGGCCTTGCCAGCGGAAGAAGAAGAGATCCTCACGGAGAAGTCGAGAGGGACTAATATATTCTCGGATTGGGGGCGTTGAATGAATTGGCCCCGCGACTCTGATGCTGTGGATCGGCGGCCAGGGGGAAGGCGGGGGACGGGGCGCCAGGCCATGCCTCCATGACGGGGAGAAGAAGGGAATGGAGGACGACGCCAGGGGGATTGGTTGAAATCTGTTCGTGAATGCGTGCAGTCGGGGCTCTGTGCTATTTGCGCTGCGCCGGCCGGCCGGGGGTGGGGACGTGGCGACGGTTCGGAGTTCTGGGAATGCGCGGCGCGCCGCGGATGGGCGGCGAAGTCTTGTGGGCCCAGAAGATCTGTGGCTGGCGGCTGACATCTCCCGCCAGCGTATGGACAAAACGCTACCCTAGCACCTATAAGTCCGGCGGTGGCGACGAAGAACAACAGCATGAGGGGAAACAGCAATGTGCATTCCCTCTGAGGCTAGATTTCATGGTCCGTGTTAATAGTGCACTGCAAGTGGACCAAGTGTCACAGTGATTGGCAAGCAATTGTCCGACTTCCCTGGCTCGACTTGCAGCTGAGAAAAGAGCTGTATACGGGTCAAGAAGAGCTCTTCTAGACAACCACATTGCTGATGCAGGTACATGGTGTCGTTCTGAGGCTGAGGGTAGCATGCACTGACAACAGGGCCATCTCCATTTGCGCAGTTCCTATATCTGGGAGTCTCACAGCAACAGTATCCGCCAGGGCCACGAGCGGCGGTTTCACAAATCTGTCAAATTGAGCACTTAGTCCTGGCAAGCTAGCAGCTTGGATTGCAGACATTGTGCCATTCTGCAGCGATGCTCACTGAAAGAGAAGGAGCATTTGTCCTGTAGTCCAGACTGTGGAGCCGTAGCTCCTCCCACGCACTGCATTGCTCGCATCACATTCATAACACCAACATCATCGTCTTGAAGGCGAAAAGGGGCATAGCTGTGTCATATTTGGCAGTGGCAGTCGAAAAGGATTGTGGAACAACCTAATATTATCAATTGTTACTGTAAATATTTGTTGATTCAAAAATTGATGTAATCTTGACAGACAGATAGTGAAATTGATGATTTGTTAAGAACCAAAATGTGCTTGTCTGATGTTAGCAGTTGAGACCAGTTG